ATAAGAGTTTTCCAAGTAAGAATTTGATATGTAACAATGACCATTTGACAATGTCTAGGCACTTTAATAAATTTGTAGTTAAACGTGGCATGTTATATAGAGAAATGGGTGACAAGAGAGAAAATATTTTACAGTTGGTGGTGCCATCCTGTTTTAGGAAGCAAATCGTAGAAAGTTTACAAAATAAAATAGGCCGCCCAGGCAGGGAAAGAACCATTAATTTAGTAAAGGATAGATTTTATTGGCCCTCTCATACTGCAGACATTAGTTCTTGGGAAGAAAAGTGTGGTCGTTGTAAACGTAGAAAAAGTTCTGTTAACATCCGTGCACCTCTTGTGAATATTGAAAGTACACATCCTTTAGAACTTGTAAGTACAGATTTCCTTACAGTGGATCCTTGCTCAAGTGGAATTAGAAATATACTGGTAATAACAGACCACTTTACCAAGTTTGCACTGGCTGTACCGTGTAAAAACCAAACTGCTAAAACCACGGCAGAAGTCCTTCATTATACATTATGGTGTACCTGCAAAACTTTTGTCAGACCAAGGTCCAAACTTTAATAGTGAAGTTATTCAAGAGCTATGTAAATTATTAGGGATAGAAAAGGTAAGAACAACTATATATCACCCACAATGTAACGGAATTTCAGAAATATTTAAGAAGAACGTTGCTAAGTATGTTAGGGACTTTAGAGCCTGAACAAAAAAGAAACTGGAACAAATATATTCAGCCACTTGTTTTTGCATATAATGCAATGAAACATGAATCTACTGGTTTTTCACCGTTTGAATTAATGTTTGGTAGGAAACCAAGATTAGCAATTGATAATATGTTTCACATTGACAATGAAAGTTTTATTTCCACAGATTATGTTTAAGATTTAAAAAGCAGGATGGAGTTCGCTCAAAATATAGCCAATAAAAACTAAGCTGACGCCAGATTAAAACAGAAGATGAATTACAACAAGAAAGCAAAAGCTGCATTATTGCAAGTTGGTAACAAGGTATTGGTAAAAATTTTAGCATTTTCTGGACCACACAAACTTTCAGATAAGTATGAACAGTCTGCATAATAAGTTGTAGACTAGAAATGTGTCCATAGGACACGGGTGCCCCCACCGCGACACAGTTCTGTCAATCTTTTTACTAAGTCAAGGGAAATAACTCTACAAATACTGGATAAATCCACAAGCCAAACCCCAGGTGCAAATCTAAAATATGCTGAGCAACCTGCCCATAAGGTTTATTGACTATGTCAAATCCTTTTTGAGAAACTTGCGACAACAAGTTGAAAATTGCAAAAATTTTCTACGTGAAGGGAATAACTCTAAAAAACACTAAATAAATCCAGACGAAAATACCTGGTGCACAACTGCACATGCTGATCAATATTCCTGTAAAGTTACATGACTGTAGGTCAAATACTTTTTGAGTTATGTGCGACACATGTTGAAAAATGCCAAATTTTACTAAGTCAAGGGCAATAACTCTGAAAATACTAAAAATATCCAGATGAAAATACCCAGGTGCACAACTACACATGCTGATCAACATTCCTGTAAAGTTTCATGACTCTAGATCAAATACTTTTTGAGTTATGTGCGACACAAGTTAAAAATTGCAAAATTTTACTAAGCCAAGGGCAATAACTCTAAAAATACTAAAAATATGCACACGAAAATACCCAGGTACACAACTACACATGCTGATCAACATTCCTGTAAAGTTTCATGACTCTAGGTCAAATACTTTTTGAGTTACATGCGACACAAGTTGAAAATTGCAAAATTTTACTAAGTCAAGGGCAATAACTCAGAAAATACTAAAAATATCCAGACGAAAATACCCAGGTGCACAACTACACATGCTGATCAACATTCCTGTAAAGTTTCATGACTGTAGGTCAAATACTTTTGGAGTTACATGCGACACAAGTTGAAAATTGCCAAATTTTACTAAGTCAAGGGCAATAACTCTGAAAATACTAAAAATATCCCGACCAAAATACCCAGGTGCACAACTACACATGCTGATCAACATTCCTGTAAAGTTTCATGACTCTAGGTCAAATACTTTTGGAGTTACATGCGACACAAGTTGAAAATTGCCAAATTTTACTAAGTCAAGGGCAATAACTCTGAAAATACTAAAAATATCCCGACCAAAATACCCAGGTGCACAACTACACATGCTGATCAACATTCCTGTAAAGTTTCATGACTCTAGGTCAAATACTTTTTGAGTTACGTGCGACACAAAAGTGAACGGACGGACGGACGGAAGGACGGACGGAAGGACGGACGGACAGACGGACGGACGGAAGGACGGACGGACAAGGGTAAATCTAAATGCCCGCCACTAACGTGGGGGCACAAAAAACCAAATGATGATATTCCAGTATATGTAGTAAAAGTTCCAGACGGAAAAAAGTTGCACAGGAACCATTTGTTACCTGTAGCCGAGAGCGAACCAGATTCAAATCTGCAGGCAAAGTTACCTTTAACTAAAAACAGATTAAGTGAAGGTTATAAGAAACAATTACAGAAACCTGTTCCAAAACCTAGAGCCAAAAAGGGTTCTGGTACACCCAAACTTAAAAAAGGGTCGAATACAAGTCGACACTTGAAACTGAATCGAGTGATTCAGACGATGAAGAGATTCGAACCAGAGTTGTCAAGTATAGACCGGCCGGTCCTAAAATTGATACGCATATTAAATAGACACCTTCCGTAGAGGCTGTCAGTAGTCATAAAGATAAAAGTACTGATATTAAGGTTGATGATATTACTATTGATGAACATACGATAGATGAAGTTTCTATTACTGAGCCAATTCCAGTACCACCTCAGGTTGTACCTAGGAAATCTAAAAGAGAGAAGAAAAAAACCTGTCTGGTATGATAGTTATGTAGTCGGCCAACAAACGGTCGATAAGTTTCTTGAATTAAATTTGCAAAATACTAAATTAATGGTTAGTATTGGAGCAGTTTTAATAGTTTTATAGCAATTTGAACTTGTAACGGGAGACTTTTCAATGTAAATAGCCATTTTTCACAAATGTTCATGAAGTAATGGGTTAATAAAACAAGAGGGCCATGATGGCCCTGAAATCGCTAACCTGTATATAGGCCCCCGGGGCGGGGCCAATTTTAACCAAGGGGCTTTTATTTGAACAAACTTGGTAGACACCCACTTGAAGATGTTTCATGATAAATATCGAAGCTCTACTCTAAGAAGATTTTTTTAAAGTTTTTACTATACACATATAGTGAAAAACAATGACCCCCTCTGGGCGGGCCAATTTTGTTCCCAGGGCTTTTATTTGAACAAACTTGATAGACACTCAATAGAAGATAATTCATGCTTAATATCTAAACTCTAGCTCTTTGGGGTTTTTTTAACAGAAGATTTTTTAAGTTTTTACTTTATATATATATATATATATATATATATATATATATATATATATATATATATATATATATATATATATATATATAATATATATATATATATATAAGGAAAATCAATGATCCCGGGGCGGGCAAATTTTAACCCAAGGGCCCTTAATTAAACAAAAATATCTTAGCTCTAATTCTTAAGTTAAAAATATATACATAAAAGGAAAAACAATGACCCCCTGGGGCGAGGCCAATTTTGAGCCCAGGGCTTTTATTTGAACATACTTGGTAAACACCCACTAGAAGAGGTTTCATGCTTTATAGCTAAGCTCTAGCTCTTTGGGTTATTTAAAAGAAGATTTTTAATTTTTTACTAAATGCATATACATTGTATTGAAAATCAATGACCCCCTAGGGCGGGGCCAATTTTGACCCCAGGGCTTTTATTTGAACACACGTGGTAGACACCCACTAGAAGATGTTTCATGCTTAATAGCTAAGCTCTAGCTCTTTGAGTTCTTTAAAAGAAGATTTTTTTAAGATTTTTCTATATGCATATAGGGAAAATCAATGACCCCCTGGAGTGGGGCCAATTTTGACCCCAGGGCTTTTTTTTAAACAAACTTGGTAGACACTCATCAGATGATGTTTCATGCTAAATATCTTAGATCTAGCTCTTTGGGTTCTTTAAGAGAAGATTTTTTAAGGTTTTACTATATGCATATAGGGAAAATCAATGACCCCCTCGGGCAGGGCCAATTTTGACCCCAGGGATTTTATTTGAACAAACTTGGTAGACACTCACTAGAAGATGCCTCATGCCACATATCTAAGCTCTACCTTTTTGGGGTTTTTAAAAGAAGATATTTTAAGTTTTTTCTTTCGGTTGCCATGGCAACCAGAGTTCTGCATGGAATTAAATTCTTTGAACAATTTTTTAAAGGTGACCACCAAAGGAACATTCCTGTGAAGTTTGGATGAAATTGGCCTAGTGGTTTAAGAGGAGATGTCATTTAAAGTAAAAGTTTACGGACGACGGACGGACGGACGACGAACGGACGCCGAACGAAAAGCGATCACAAAAGCTCACCCTCTCACAGGTGAGTTAAAAACTAAACAAGAGGGCCATTATGGCCCTAAATCGCTCACCTGAGGACATTGTTTACATAATACATTTTATCATAAGGACCCTCCTATCGAGTTTCATCAAAATCTCCCTAGTACTTATTGAGGAGAAATATTTACATCTTATATTCTTTATTCAGCACACCTTGTTCAGCAGACTGTTATTCTTAAAGCATATTTTGCTTATTATCATCCACAGATAATTCTATTGAATTTAATCAAAATTATCCCAACAGTTGAGGAGATGTCCTTTAAGGCTTCTTCCTTATTCTAGCTTTAGCGGCTTATTTGTTCAACAGACTTGATACTATTTAATATTTTTTTGTAACTGACTCAAGAATTGAGACTGCTTTAGATAAAAAGATGCATGGAAATAAGAAATTTACTTTTAAGATATTAATAATTGAAGAAGCCATTTTAATTCTAAAGATCTTTTACGCGAGAGAACAAAATTTGGATTCTTAGAACCAATTTCATACCCACGAAAACAATATGATGAACAGATCGGCTAATTCATGTTTGGAGAAATAAAACTTCAGCATCTTACCTGAGACAGCCACAGACGGAGAGCCAATTGGCCGATTCATGTTCGGTGAGGTAGAAGATCCCATACCAACAGACCCTTGTCGTTGTTTTTGAGCAATCGAACTGTAATAAGATGGTGGAGGCTGCATTGGCCCAATTGGTTGACCGTTTGGGCCCATTTGCGGACCGTTGGGTCCCATGGGCGGCTTTTGTTGCTGCTGTTGTGCTCTCTTCTCCGCAATATATTCTTGCTGAAGTCTCATCCACTCTTTTTGAGCGGGTGTCAAATTTTGCATGTTCTGTTGCGACATCTTTGCACGTTTTGACATCATACTTTGTTGATCAATATTCATACCACCCCCCATATCTCCAGGCTCCATTGGTTGATCGTTTAGGCCCATTTGTGGACCGTTAGGTCCCATGGGCGGCTTTTGTTGCTGCTGTTGTGCTCTCTTCTCCGCCATATATTCTTGCTGAAGTCTCATCCACTCTTTTTGAGCGGGTGTCAAATTTTGCATGTTCTGTTGCGACATCTTTGCACGTTTTAACATCATACTTTGTTGATCAATATTCATACCACCCCCCATATCTCCAGGCTCCATTGGTTGATCGTTTAGGCCCATTTGTGGACCGTTAGGTCCCATGGGCGGCTTTTGTTGCTGCTGTTGTGCTCTCTTCTCCTTCTTATATTCTTGCTGAAGTCTCATAGCGTGAGTCAAATTTTGCATGTTCTGTTGCGACATCTTTGCACGTTTTGACATCATACTTTGTTGATCAATATTCATACAACCCCCCATATCCCCAGGCATCATCCCCTGCCCACCAGGACCTTGCCCTGGGTGAAAACCTTGTTGATTTCGTTGCTCAGGAAATAACATCTGTTGAAGTTTAAGAATACTAGCTAATTGCTCCTCATTTTTTTGTACTTGTTCAGGAGTGTAATGTCCATTCAAAATTTTACTTTGCCCGTATCCCATGGGACCGGGACCTGGGTGAAAACCTTGTTGATTTCGTTGCTCAGGAAATAACATCTGTTGAAGTTTAAGAATACTAGCTAATTGCTCCTCATTTTTTTGTACTTGTTCAGGAGTGTAATGTCCATTCAAAATTTTACTTTGCCCGTATCCCATGGGACCGGGACCTGGGTGAAAACCTTGTTGATTTCGTTGCTCAGGAAATAACATCTGTTGAAGTTTAAGAATACTAGCTAATTGCTTCTCATTTTTTTGTACTTGTTCAGGAGTGTAATGTTCATTCAAAATTTTACTTTGCCCGTATCCCATGGGACCGGGACCTGGGTGAAAACCTTGTTGATTTCGTTGCTCAGGAAATAACATCTGTTGAAGTTTAAGAATACTAGTTAATTGCCCCTCTCTTTTTTGTACTTGTTCAGGAGTGTAATGTTCATTCAAAATTTTACTTTGCCCATCAGGCATGCCACCCATTGGACCCATCGGGTTATTCATCAAACCCATTTTGTTATGCATACCTTGCATGTTATACATCCCAGCTCCTCCCCGCATCTTCGGATTTTTCTGAGAAAGAAAAAAGAAACAAACTTTAGAAAAATTTTAATGACAGTGAAATCTTGCTCTCTTGAACTTTAAAATAATCTTAAACTATAGTTAACCCAAGTCTTGTGTTTTAAATTTAATAAATCATAAATCATTTTTTGCTATTACAATGTACCTGCCATCAAAAATGATTATGCATATTCTTTAACAATATTTTCCTATCTTTACAAAGTCTGTGTGACAGAAAAATCTAATGTACTTTAAATTTGTTCACATTCTATTCATTTCAACTCAAAACTGACATAACAATTTATAAATGAGCCGCGCCATGACAAAACCAACAAAATGCGTTTGCGACCAGCATGGATCCGGACCAGCCTGCGCATCCGCGCAGTCTGATCAGGATTCATGCTGTTCGTTTACAAACCCTATAACAAGTAGAGAAACTGATAGCGAACAGCATGGATCCTGATCAGACTGCGCCAAAAACCTCAATCACCAAAAAATTAAATCTGATAATGCAGAGTGTAACATTGTATTAATCTAGAACATTCGGACATTCAGGGTTATTACTGATTTCATGGATAGTGCTGTATGAAGGTTGACAGTGAAATCTTGTAAGACACTCGGCATACAAGACATAAGCATTTTGTAACAGAAAGATTGGATTTCGTCTTCAACAATATTACTGCCACAAAGCTGACTTCTTTCGAGAAAAAAAAATGAAGGAATTTACTCTCTTTTTTGTTCTGTTTTCAAAATTCATTCTAAAGCTTTTAAACTGTGTTGTCTTGTTTTTTTACTGTCATTTTATAATGAATAGGTTTGCAAAAGTAATTGGAATGGTATTCTTACCTATCAAAATCATGTATTAATTCACTGTGTTTTTAATATTAATTCTTTGCATCAATACCAATTTTCATGTGTGATTTTATAACATAATTATGATTTTTGTCATTTAATGTTTTGGAAATTTAATCCTTGATCCAACAGCCTGGCTTCTCCAATCTGCTCCCAAGTTTCTTTGTTTCTTTACTTTAAGATGGCTTACAAGATGGTCTGAAGCTTGCCAAACATTACCTCTACCTATTTTCCAGTATTTTGTATCTTTGAACATATTTTTTCAAATCAAGCAGACGGCTTAGTCTGGCCCCTAATACAGGAAAATGAGGCATGGCATTTTTGCAGCTCGTGTTAAAGATTTAACTTTAACATAACAAAAATTCTTAAAACTATTCTAAGATTGAGCCAATATTAAAACCAAAAACAGTTTCTGGCCTTTAAGTCCCTATAGGATAGGAAGATAGGACTTTTCAATGTGTATATATATTTATATATTACAAAGAAAATATTTAGAAAAAGTTGAAAGGTAAATAGGGTCAGCAGTTGAAGGGTAGATAGAGAGACCAGTCACTTTTTAATTTTTTGGCCGCGAAACTGGTTTGCACCTGACTACATATCTTCTACCATCAATCCCTAAATGCATTCATTTTCATTTAAATGATTAAACTATAATACAAAACAATATATTCAACCTTAGACAAGCTAAGCTTTTGTAAACACTTATCGTTAGTATTGAGGGATACACGAGTCCTAATTCAACAAGCTTTAAGTTCAGTTCCATTCCTCAGAAAAGCCTAAAGTTTTAACACTCAAGTCGAGCTTGAAGCCTTGAAAAGTCTTAAGTTCTATGCCTTAGACATGTAGAGAGTTTAGCTTAGCTCTAAGCCTCAGAAAAGAATAAAATCAGGTTAAGTTCTAAGTTATGATATGGCTCTTAACTTCAGACAAGACTCAACCTCAAGTTGACCATTAAACCCATTGACAAGCCCCAACCTCTAAGCAAGCCTCAAAGGAATGTTTGTAAAGGAACACAGAAGAGATCTCAGGACGGAGGAGGAGGCTACCTGTAGGAAAGATTTAGTTGAAGGTTGGTCCATGTGATAGGACAGTATGTTTTCATACTGGCCACTCTGTACAGCTTGGGCAGCTTCGTTCGCCATTTGCGTGGTGAAGACAAAAATCTCACTCTGTTGCCGCATCAACTGCCCCTCATTAACTACCTGTTGCTGTGGTATTCCTCCATTTGGTCCAGGACCCATTGGTCCATTAGGACCAGGGCCCATTGGCCCACCAGGCCCCATAGGTCCTATCATACCAGGTTGATTGCCTGCACCTGGATTAACATTTTGCTCTTGTTTAGCTGAAATGTATCAAATTTATGTTAATTATTTAATAAGTTTTAACTTAATCAGGCATCAATCAGTAACAAGGCAGAAGCTATCACTAAATACTTAAGGCATAGTCACAGCAATTAATATTTTAATACATGGACAGTTATGGTACACAAGAGGTCATGATGGCCCTGAAATCGCTCACCTGAATATAGGCCCATGGGCCAAGGCCAATTTGAAACCAGGGGCTTTTATTGAACAAACTTGGTAGACACCTATTAGAGGATGTTTCACAACTATCTAAGCTCTAGCTCTTTGGAGTTTTTATAAAAAGATTTTTTAAGTTTTTACCATTCTTATATAAGGACAAGTATGTAGACAATATACATAGTGATCAAATTTTAAGTTTGAGAACAGCAACAGTAATATTAAAGCTGACATGGCTGTGACAAAAGCTTGTAACATTTGTAAACAAGAGCACCGCAAGGCGGAGCATTATATGCCCGAAAGTGATTTTTTTTTAGTAAAGATGAAGCATTTGTAAGACATGGGAGTAAAATAAAGTATTACCTCCTTCAAATAACAATCCTCCTTTGAAGTTTCAATATTGTGGTCCAAATGGAACTTTAAGTTATGCCCCAGAAACTGTTTTCAATTCTAAGGTAAAAGTGACCTTGACCTTTGACCTTGTGACCCCAAAATCATTAGGGGTCTTCTACCAAATATGGACAATCATCCTATGAAGTTTAAACACAGTAGGCCAATTGATACTTAAGTTATGTTCCGAAAAACTGTTTTCAGTTTTAAGGTAATAGTGACCTTGACCTTGTGACCCTAAAATCAATAGGGGTCTTCTACCCAATATGGACAATCATCCTATGAAGTTTGAATATTGTGGGCTAAATGGTACTTAAGTTATGCTTAAGAAACTGTTCTCAATTTCTAAGTAATAGTGACCTTGACCTTTGACCTTGTGACCCCAAAATCTATAGGGGTTTTCTACCCAATATGGACAATCATCCTATGAAGTTTGAACACTGTGGGCCAAATGGAACTTAAGTTATGCTCCGGAAACTGTTTTCAGTTTTAAGGTAATAGTGACCTTGACCTTTGACCTTGTAATCCCAAAATCAATAGGGGTCTTCTACCCAATATGGACAATCATCCTATGAAGTTTGAACACTGTGGGCCAAATGGAACTTAAGTTATGCTCCGGAAACCAAATTGCTAACGGACAGACGGACTGACGGACGGACAGACGGACGGACGCCAGGGGGTAAAACATAATATGTCCGAAATTCTTTCGGGCATATAAAAAAAGTGACTTAAGAGGGATATCTATTGATGCTGATAGCTCATTATGATCCTCTTTCTCAACTGAGAGAGAATCAATGACCTACAGGGACACAGATTGATACTACATATACTAACACCTCAAAATGAGCCTTTGGTTGAAGTGAGTGTAAATCAACTACCTTGAAGGAAACTGATTGATACTAACACTTCACAATGAGCATTTGGCTCAAGTGAGTGTAAATCAACAACCTAGCAGGACAATGATGCTAACATCTTACAATCAGCGTTTGACTAACGTGAGAGTGGATCAATGACATTTATTATCACAAGTAATTCACAATGAGCCTTTGGCTCAAGAAAGTATGGATAAAAAACTTATCAAACTGGCCATCATTTTCGCAGGCAGAAGCCGTGGGTCCATCGCAGCGGCGGTGGAGTATTCATCATAGAAGCAGTGGATAAAATATGGCCGTTTGCTGTTGTCAATACGTATATGACTGAATTTTGTTTAATGTTTTACTGGAAACACTTAGTGAGACTGGAGCCCACATATGTACTCTTTCAACTTATTACACGCACACGGTGCAATTCATTGCCGTTTATATAAACACTTATGTACAGTTTTACGAGGGGAAGCCACTTTTCTTTTTGCGTCTGCATAATTTGCATATAATAAGTTGAAAGAGTGCAAAGGAGGGCTCCAGTCTCACTAAATGTTTCTAGTAAAACATTTAAACATAAAACAAAATTCAGTCATATATTTACCGACAACAGCAAACGGCCATATTTTATCCATCGCTTCTGCGACAAATACTCAACCGCCGCTGCCAGTGTGCTTATGAGGAACATTGATTGCTGCTTAAAATTTACAATGAGTCTTTAGCTCAAGTGAGCTAAAAGCACTAAACAGCCATTCTAGCTTCTTCAATTAAAATTCTATGTCTTTGTTTGATATCATTCGTCATGATTGTCTGTTGCATTGTTTTTTACTGATACTGGACTTCCATAGTTTGGAACTAACTTATTATTATCTGTATGTACTGCCTTGTGTATTTTAATTCTGTGCTTCTGTGCTTTTAGACATAATATTGATCAAGGAATAATTATCTAGATGCTGTGTAGATGACATGAAAAAAGTGCAGGTATAAGTTATCATAAAACAGGTCACTGGCAACCACATGCAATTCAATGAATATGCAATCAGACATTGACTGATGAAAAAAATCAAAACCAATGTTTGTCAATTGAACATTATCCGTTCAGTATTGTTATAAGGTGTTATTAAACTTACTAGAACAGCTTTAGATGTGTGTGTGTATATATATATACTCATCAGAAGGGTAAGCACATAACCAAAATTATTGCAGGATTCTCAAACTTGAAAATAGCTTCTGTCAATGTCATTGTCCATAAAATTTGCAATTTTTGTGTGTCCTGAGACATTCAGAAAATCATTCAATAAATCAATTAGTACATCATTTATCAAACTTTAATGCAAATTACAAAAAATTCATTAGGAAATTGACAATGTGAAATAACATGTAAATTTCTAAACAAAGTACAATGCACATATGGCCTAGAGGGCTTAAAGAGGTGGGCTTTGACCCCCATCTGTTTCCAAGCACCCAGCACATTGACAGTGCCCGTACTAGAATATGCAAACCTAGTCAATACCCATAATTATACACAAAGCATAGTAAATTGACCGACTGTCACTCATCATTTTCCTGTGAAAGCAACTTTTACATCACTCAATGCACTCCTGTTAATTAAACTAACAAAATGTTAACACCTCCCATTCAATATGACCCATGTTCGAACTCATCCCATCAATTACCTAGAGAAGCACCCTGACCAAGTTCCTTGAAAAATGAGTAAAAATGTGACCACTAGAGTGTTAAACAAGAATTTTCTATATTTAGGGTGGTAAGACCAAGTTTTTGACCCCTGATGACCATATTCAAACTTGATCAAGATATCATCCGAACAATTTTTTGACTAATTTCCAGGGTATTTAAATAAAAAAGCAGCCACTAAAGAGTTGTTAACAAGATTTCTCTTTTTTAACTCATGTGACCTAGTTTTTCATCCGAGTAATTACCTAGGCAAGCATCCTGACCAAGTTTCATGACAATTGAGTCAAAAATGTGACCACTAGAATGTTAACAAGATTTTTCTCTTTTTAGCTCGTGTGACCTAGTTTTTTCATCTTAGATGACCCATGTTCGAACTCATCGGAGCAATTACTAAGACCATCCAGACTAAGTTTGATGACATTGTGTCAAAAATGTGACCACCAGAGTGTTAACAAGGTTTTTCCATATCTGGGCGGTGTGACCTAGTTTTTGACCCGAAGTGCTTGACCTTGTAATCATCAACACAAACTTTTAAACCAATTTCCAGGATATTTGGATCAAAACAGTTTGCACTAAAGTGTTAACAAGATTTTTTTTTATCTCTTGTGACCTAGTTTTTCATCTAAGATGACCAATGTTTGAACTTATTTGAGCAATTACCTAGTCAAGCATCCTGACCAAGTTTGATGACAATTGAGTCAAAAATGTGACCACCAGCGTGTTAACAAGGTTTTTCCATATTTGGTCAGTGTGACCTAGTTTTTGCCCCAAGGTGACCCATATTCAATCGTGACCTAGAAATCATCAAAACATACTTTCAGACCGATTTCCAGAATATTTCGATCAAAACAGTAGCCACTAGAGTGTAATGAAGATTTTTCTATTTTTAGCTCCTGTGACCAAGTTTTTAATCCAAGATGACCCATGTTAAAACTCATCCGAGTAATTACCTAGACAACAGGAAAGTTAAGCCCTGGCATGTTGTTACAAAGGCAATTGGTCCAGTCAACATTTGTGCCAAATTTGATTAGTATTGAAACAGTTTTTATAGTTTATAGCAATTTGAACTTGTAACGGGAGACTTTTTAATGAAAACAGCCAAACAATTTTTTTGAAAACAAAATAACACCAAAAAATTAAATGTTTCTATTGTTCAATAACACGCATACAATTTACAAACAAAGATCTTTGACAGACGTTTAGCCGGCTTTTCAAAAGAATCTGCCAATCTTTGATGTTCACCAACATATAGCCCTGGCTGTTTGATTCGAATCATTAAAGAAGGTGCCGAAACTTACATGAATTACACACATTTTAAGTGTTCCTTAGGAATTTAGTGAAAAAAAACCTGAGAAAATAATTCTTTTTTAAAAAATGCACATGTTGATTAATACTTAAGGAGAAAGTTATTTTGTCGGATAATTATAGTATCAATTTCAATACAAGAAATGTGTCCAAAGGACACGGGTGCCCCCAAACGCCACTGTTCTGTCAATTTTATGACTCTAGGTCAAATACTTTTTGGACTACGAAAACTAAAAATCTTTTACTAAGTAAAGGGCAAGAACTTTACAAATACTGAATACATCCGGAAGCAAACCCCAAGGTGTATAAGTACACATGCTGACCAACATTCTTGTAAACTTCAAGGTATACAAGTCAAATACTTTTTGAGCTATGCATGAACAAGTTGAAAATTGCAAATTTATACTACTGTAAGTCAAGGGCAATAACTCTAACAAAACTGAAAAAGTCCACATGCAAAGTCCCAGGTACATAGCTTCACAGTGATGTGAATCATTATTCCTGTAATTTAGTGAAGTTGATCATTATTCCTGTAAAGTTTGTTGATTCTAACTCAAACAAGATATGTTTGTAAAACATGTATGCCCCCCTATCAGCAGCCAATTAGTCATGTGAAAAGGTTATTATGCATGACTTCTGACCCAGTGATCAAACAATTAATAAGGGTTATCAAGTATCTACTGGTCATGACCTTAACCTTTGACCCCTTGACCCAAAACTCAATAGGGGTCATCTGCTGGTCACGACCAATCATCATACAAAGTTTGAAGTTCCTAGGCCTAAGCGTTTTTAGTTAATTGATCGGAAACTGTTTTAACATACAAGGTCAATGTGACCTTGACCTTTGACCCCTTGACCCCAAAATCAATAGGTCATCTGCTGGTCATGACCAATCACCATACCATGTTTGAGGTTCCTAGGCCAAAGGGTTCTTAAGTTATTGATTTGAAAGCATTTTTACCTACAAGGTCAATGTGACCTTGCCCTTTGCCCCTTAACCCCAATATCAATAGGGGTCATCTACTGGTCATGACCAATCACCATACCAAGTTTGAAGTTCCTAGGCCTAAGGGTTCTTAAGTTATTGATCGGAAACTGTTTTTACCTAAGAGGTAAATGTGACCTTGACCTTTGACCCCTTGACCCCAAAATCAATAGGGGTCATCTACTGATCATGACCAATCACCATATCAAGTTTGAAGTCCCTAGGCCTAAGGGTTCTTTCGTTATTGATCGAAAACCGTTTTTACCTACAAAGTCAATGTGACCTTTACCTTTGACCCCTTAACCCCAAAATTAATAGGGGTCATCTGCTGGTCATGACCAATCACCATACCAAGTTTGAAGTTCCTAGGCCTAAGGGTTCTTTCGTTTTTGATCGGAAATCGTTTTTATCTACAAGGTCAATGTGACCTTGACCTTTGACCCCTTAACCCCAAAATCAATAGGGGTCATCTGCTGGTCATGACCAATCACCATACCAAGTTTGAAGTTCCTAGGCCTAAGGGTTCTTTTGTTAATGATCAGAAACCGTTTTTACCCAAGAGGTCAATGTGACCTTGACCTTTGACCCCTTGACCCCAAAATCAATAGGGGTCATCTACTGATCATGACCAATCACCATACCAAGTTTGAAGTTCCTAGGCCTTAAAGTTCTTTAGTTATTGCTCAGAAACCGTTATTGCTTACAAGGTCAATGTGACCTTGACCTTTGACCCCAAAATCAATAGGGGTCATCTACTGATCATGACCAATCACCATACCAAGTTTGAAGTTCCTAGGCCTTAAAGTTCTTTAGTTATTGATTGGAAACCGTTTTTGCTTACAAGGTCAATGTGACCTTGACCTTTGACCCCTTGACCCCAAAATCAATAGGGATCATCTACTGATCATGACCAATCACCATACCAAGTTTGAAGTTCCTAGGCCTTAAGGTTCTTTAGTTATTGATCGGAAACCGTTTTTGCTTACAAGGTCAATGTGACCTTGACCTTTGACCCTTTGACCCCAAAATCAATAGGGGTCATCTACTGGTCATGACCAATCACCTTACCAAGTTTGAAGTTCCTAGGCCTTAAGGTTCTTTAGTTATTGATCGGAAACCGTTTTTGCTTACAAGGTCAATGTGACCTTGACCTTTGACCCCTTGACCCCAAAATCAATAGGGGTCATCTACTGATCATGACCAATCACCATACAAAGTTTGAAGTTCCTAGGCCTAAGGGTTCTTAAGTTATTACTCGGAAACCATTTGGTCTACGGACCGACGGACCGACGGACCAACGGACCGACGGACCGACAAGTGCAAAGCAATATACCCCCTTTTCTTCGAAATGGGGGCATAACAATCAAGGAACAATTAACACAACATAATGAAACGGTTTTTACTAAGTCAAGGGAAATAACTCAACAAATACTGGATAAGTTCGCAACCGAAACCCAAGGTGCACACCTACATATGCTGAGCAACCTTCCCGTATGGTTTAATGACTCAATGTTAAATCTTTTTTGAGTAACATGCCACACAAGTTGAAAATTGCAAACATTTTCTAAGTCAAGGGCAATAACTCTAAAAATACTAAATAAATCCAGACAAAAATAGCCAGGTGCACAACTACACATGCAGATCAACATTCCTGTAAAGTTCCATGACTCTATGCCAAATCCTTTCAGAGTTACATGTGGCACAAGTTGAAAATAGCAAAATTTTACTTACTCAAGGGCAATAACTCTAAAAATACTATATAAATCCAGACGAAAATACCCAGGTGCACAACTTCACATGCTGATCAACATTCCTGTAAATTTCATGACTCTAGGACAAATCCTTTTTGAGTTACGTGCGACACAGGTTGAAAATTGCAAATTTTTAATAAGTCAAGGGCAATAACTCTAAAAATACTATATAAATTCAGACAAAAAATTGTTTTGGCAAGTAGATGACCTCTATTGATATTGGAGTCAAAGGTCAAGGTAATATTGACCGTATATGTAAACACAGTTTCCGATCAAGAACTTGACAACAAATTGGCTGTTGGCCTTTAAACTGCGTATGTGCATTGTTCGTGGCAAATAGACGATCCATTTTGATTTTGATGTCAAGGGGTTAAAAGTCAAGGTCATATGACCTTGTAGGTCAAAACTGTTTCCTATCAATTACCTGACAACCCATGGGGCCTTGGCCATCAAACTGCATAGGTACATTGCTTTTGGCCAGTAGATGACAGCTATTGATTTTAAGGCCAAGGTGTCAAACGTCAAGGTCACAGTGACCTTGTATGTCAAAACAGTTACCTATCAATAACTGGGCAACCCATGGACCCTTGACCTTCAAACTTCACAGATGCATTGCTTTTGGTCACATGACCTCAATTGATTTTCAGGGTCAAGGGTCTAGAGGTAAATATCAAGTTGACCTTATAGGTTTCAACGCTTTCTGGTCATTATCTCAACAACTCATGGGCCCTTTACCTTTCAACTTCATGAGTACATTGGTCTTGGCCAGTAAATAACCCATATTGATTTAATGGTCAAATGTCAAAGTCACATTGACTTTGGATGTAAAAACGGTTTCCGACCACTTACTCAAACAACTCAAGTTGCCTTGGTTGATATTTTTTATTAATGATATTTTTTATTAAACTAAAAATGCTTTTGTATACATATTTCAAGTCTAATGTCATATTTCAAATTGGCTGTCATTAAGGAGGTCTACATGATTCATAAAATTCATGCATATATTATTTGGCTTATATATGATTTGTGATAACTTTGTCATAAAATTGGTGCACAAAACCTTTTCGGTCAAAATTACCTAGTGACTAGTCATGCCCAGTAGATAACCCCTATTGATTTTTGGTCACACGGTCAAAAGCCTGACCACATTACAAATTGGCTGCCGATATGAGGCATACATGTTTTACAAAAAATATTTTGTTCAAGATAATTCAGCGCTACTTAAAATTGTAGAAAATTTCTCAACAGTCTATTCAACGATTTTCAACAGTTTTTTTCCACAGGTGGCAGCATCAGTGTTTTGACAGCCCACCTCGACCCGGCCCAGTAACCCTGCTAAAACACTGAAAAAACAAGATTGCATTTGAGAAAAATGCTATGCCACCGCATTAATACAACACTAAATAGTAGTGTAGGAACATATTTTTTTTGTTTCTATAATAATTTGAAGATTGTCATAATGCATAGATCCCTAACCTATCTAATTCTTATTATCAGATTAGTGGTAAAATCTGTTGTTAACTCAATAAAAGATCAGAGTAGGAATATATCAATGCACTCTAGTCTAGTGAATTTGGTAGCGAAGGTCATATTTCACACAGCCTAAATTTCATGACTACATCAAAGGACAACACAGTAAGACACTTTGTCAAAATCTAGGTCAACTGTAATCAAAGTTCACTTTAAATCTTAATCTGTGCACATGGTTCAAATTTCATAGCTGTACATCAAAGGACAAGAAAGTAGGTCACATCATCAAAATCTAGGTCACCTGATATCAAAGTTCAATTTTACAACTAAAACTGTGCACATGGTCAAAATTTCATTGCTGTACATTAAAGGACAAAAAAGGAGGTCACTGTCCCCTTGGGCGAGGCAAAATTTGGACCCCAAGTTTAATTAAAACCAATCTTGATACAGGTTCACCAAACAACATTTCAAGACAAATATCTAAGCTGTAGCTTTCTCCCATTCAGAAAACATTTGTTTTATTTTCTGTTTTTACTATGTGTACATAATGAGAATCACTGACCCCGGGCAGGGCCAATTTTGAAACCAGGGGAAAAATTTGAACAACTTTGGAATAGGACCTATAGATGATATTATATAACAAACATCAAAGATCTATGCCTTGTACCTTCAGACAAAAATATTTTTTATTTTTTTACAATATGTACATAATGAAAATCAATGACCCCCGGGGCGGAACCGGCTATGATTTGAACAATCTTGGTAAAGGTTCACTTCTCAAAGTCTCATGCCATATATTTAACCTCTAGCCTTTGTCAATTCAGGGGCAGGGGCAGGGCAATTTTTACACTAGGGCATAATTAAAACAGGGAGTAGGGGACCCATAGATGATATAATATACCAAATATCAAAAGCTCTAAGCCTTGTACCTTCAGACAATAAGATTTTTTGATTTCTTACTATATGTATATAGTGAAAATCAATGACCCCTGGGGGTGGGCCTATTTTGAGCCCAGGGCTATAATTTGAACAATCTTGCTAGAGGTTCACTACATAATGTCCCTGCAAAATATCTTAACTCTAGCATTTGTAATTTTAGAGAAGATATTTTTTAAAGTTTTTACTATATACATATAAGGAAAACCTATGGTCCCCGGGGCGGGGCTAATTTTGACACTAGAGGCAAAATTTGAACAACTTTGGTAGAGTACCTATAGATGATATCATTTAACAAATATTAAAGCTCTAAGCCTTGTACCTTTAGACAATTAGATTTTTTACTATATGTATATATTGAAAATCTATGACCCCCCGGGGCGATGGCAATTTTTAACCCCGGGGCTATAATTTGAACAATCTTGCTAGAAGTTCGCTTAACAATGTTTCATGCAAAATATCTAACCTCTAGCATTTGTCAATTGCTAGAAGAATTTTTTTTTAAGTTTTTACTATAAGTTTTTACTATTTACATATAAGGGAAACCAATGACCCCCGGGGCGGGGCCGATTTTGACCCCAGGGCTATGATTTGATCAATCTTGGTAGAGGTCTACAAGACAATGCCTTAAGCAAAATATCTAAGCTCTAGGCCTTTTGGGTCTTTACAAGAAGGCATTTTAAGTTTTTACAATATGTACATACATGTATAGTGAAAATCAATGACCCCGGGGCGGGGCCGATTTTGACCCCAGGTCTATAATTTGAACAATCTTGGTAGAGGTCTACCAGACAATTCCTTATGCAAAATATCTAAGCTCTATGCCTTTTGAGTCTTTACAAGAAGATTTTTAAATTTATCTATAACTATAATTTTGATAGTGGAAAAAAATTGTTTTTTCGGTGGTTTTGAATTTGGTATCTAATGGTAAACCTTAAGAGTGTTGAATTATTTTTTAGGGTTGTAGCAGGGGTCCAGGGGCGGAGTGGGGTTGGGTGTCCAAACACTGATACTGCCACCAGTGTTTTTTTAAGATTAAAAAAAACTTACACTAAATGTTTTAATGTTCAATGTGCAATGTAATGGTAAAGCTTCTGTTCATGTGTACAAAAAGGGCAGTTAAAACTTTGTGGCGTCTCTTCTTAGTATACTCAACATCACTAATTCCGCGTCATCGCTTATTTCACGGTAATGGCATATTCTTATGTGACTGGTGTTAAAATTGGTCAGAATTGACATGTTTATAGGAAAATAACATGTAGAAATTTAAGCTGAAACATGAAACAAGAGACCCATCAAACTCATCCGAGCAATAACCCAGACAAGCATCCTGACTAAGTTTCATGACAGTTAAGTAAAAATGTAGCCTCTAGAGTGTTAACAAGGTTTTTTCCATATAATAGCGGTGTGACATTGTTTTTGACTCCAGGTGACCCATATTCAAACCTAGAAATCATCAAAACAAACTTTCAGACCAATTTCCAGGATCAAAACAGTAGCCACTAAAGTGTTAACAAGATTTTTAATTTTTAGCTCCTGTGACCTACATGATTGTGCCAACAAGATTTTCTATTTTTAACTCCTGTGACCTAGTTTTAAATCCGAAAAAACCAATGTTAGAACTCATCCAGACAATTACCCAGACAAGCATCCTGGCCAAGTTTGAATACAATTGAGTCAAAAATGAGACCATCGAGTGTTCACAAGGTTTTCCATATTTGGGTGGTGAGAGCTACTTTTTGACCCCAGCTGATCCATATTTGCACTTGACCTAGAAATCATTAAAACAAACTTTTAGACCAATTTCAAGGATATTTTGATCAAAACAGTAGCCACAAGATTTTCCTATTTTAGCTCCTGTGACCTGGTTTTTCATCCGAAATGACTAATGTACGAAACCATCCAAGCAATTACCTAGACAAGCATCCTGACAAAGTTTGATGATGATTGAGGCAAATATATGACCACTAGAGTGTTAACAGGGTTTTTCCATATTTGGGTGGTGTGACCTAGTTTTTGACCCCGATAATCCATATTCAAACTTGACCTAGAAATTATCAAAACAAACGTTCAGACTCACCGTGGGTCAGCAACTTTGGTCATGTGACCACAAAAGTCAACGTACACGGTCAAAATAGCTCCGCTGAGGTAAGTTTTTAGTGATTATTTTTCTTTCCAGCCCATTGAAATTATGCTACATAGCCTACCGACCGCAGCAGTTCCGATGCTTTCTAAAAAAGTATTTAGTTTCGTCTAACGTTTTGTATTTTATGAGAACATTCAAACAATATTTGCAAATTGTCGATGACATCGTACACACTATTGTGTAAAAGTGTTGATAATAACTTAATAAACGATACACATGTCAGTTCTAAGTAAAATTTCAGGTCTTAAAATAAATAAGTGAATGTTTTAATGAAAAAAGATCTGGTTTCCTGCTCTCATTTTTTGTATTTATTTAACAAGAGCGATCAGTAATCACATGTGTCGCCTCATGATGGCCAATTTCATGTTGGGACAAATTTTGTGACAGACGGACAGACAGACAGACAGTGCACAACTAGACTTGGTACTGATCATTCCTGTAAAGTTTGGATAAAATTGCACCAGTAGTTTATGAGGAGTAGTCCGGACAAGCTTTTGCGTATCTGGCAACACACAGAAAAAAACACCTTTTTATCAAAGGGCCATAACTCGGCCAAAAATCATTCAACCAGAAAACCCGTGCAATATGCGCAAGGACTTGAGCTACAGATCAATCCTGTAAAGTTTCATTGAAATTGCATTAGTGGTATAAGAGAAGTAGTCCGGACAAACTTTAAAAATAAAAATTATTAAAGGGCCATAACTCTGACAAAAATCAATGAACCGGAAAATGCTGACAATATGCACAACTAGACTTGGTATTGTTCATTCCTGTAAAGTTTGGATGAAATTGCACCAGTAGTTTATGAGGAGTAGTCCGGACAAGCTTTTGTGCATCTGGCAACACACAGAAAAAAACACATTTTTATCAAAGGGCCATAACTTGGCCAAAAATCATTCAACCGGAAAACCCGTGCAATATGCGCAAGGACTTGAGCTACAGATCAATCCTGTAAAGTTTCATTGAAATTGCATTAGTGGTATAAGAGAAGTAGTCCGGGCAAACTTTAAAATTAACAAGAGCTGTCGGTAGGACAGCACGCTCGACTATTCTAAGTGCTTGATAGTAAAAGAGCCTTGATAATGTTAAATTTTTTAAGATCACAAAAGGGCTAAAAAAAAATTATAAATTCATGTTATAGGCCTTAGAGAGAGTCTAATTGTACAGTATTGGCTTGACTATTCGGAAGGTAATGTCACAAGGGTGTTTTATTGAATATAATAAAACTA